CATCATCATCATCATCATCATCATCATCATCATCATCATCATCATCATTATTACAACAATCCTGTAGGGCTTTTTTCTTGGAAAAAAGTACATGCTGGCTGAGGAATTCTGGGAGTTGGTCCACAAGTCATAAAAGGGCCAAGTTTGAAGACCCCTGGTCTAAAGCGAGTGTTTTTCAAACTTGCCAACTTTAAGAAGTGTGGACTTTGACTCCCAGAATTCCCCAGCCACCATGGCTACTTGGGGAATTCTGGGAGCTGAAGTCCACACCTCTTAAAGTTGGCACGTTTGAAAAACACTGCTGTAAATTAGGGGTCCCCAACCCCCAGTCTGTGGACCACTACCGGGCCGCGGCATACCACCAACCGGTCTGCACAAAGCAAAGCCCCATCCATGGGATACAGGCAGCACACACAAGCACGCATTCTCCGGTCCACGGAAAAACCTTTCTCCACGGAACCGGTCCCTGGTGCCCAAAAGGTTGGGGATCTCTGCTGTAAATGATCCAGAAAACTATGTGGTTAGCCTTTTATCTAGAAGGATCCATGCTACTAACCTCAGTTAATACTTGGTCCAGAAGTATCTTGGCCTCTTGGGAGACATTCCAGAGATCCTTTTCTTCTACCATGATGGAATCCACAAAGCCCTTCTCCAAGACCACGTCAAAGCTTCCATCCATGAAAGTCAAGAACCGGGCATCCATTACCGCCCAGTGTAAGCCTGAGCAATGGGCATAACGGTCTTGCATACTTGAAATGCAGACAGCGGAATAATCTATGTTGGTGATGTCTCTGTATCCGAGTTGGAAAAGATTGTAACTCAGAGCACTGTTCCCACAACCTGCAGAAGACACAATTGTGAGTTGGTTATTCCCAAAGATTTCACAGCAGACAATCGGTCAGTGATGCAAGCTGGCTCTTTAAACTTTTTCACAGCTAAATATTTGACATCTATCGAGTGATATATTTAACAGAATAACAGAATTGGAAGGGACCTTGGAGATCATCTAGTCCAACTCCCTTCTCAAGCAGGAGACACTGTGCCATTTCAGACAAGTGGTTGTCCAGCCTCTTCTTAAAAGCTTCCAGTGTTGGAGCACCCACAACTTTTGGAGGCAAGTCGTTCCACTGACTAATTCTTCTGTTAGGAAATTTCTCCTTAGTTCTAGGTTGCTTCTCTCTCCTTGATTAGTTTCCATCCATTGTTTCTCGTCTTGCCTTCTGGTGCTTTGGAGAATAGCCTGACCCCCCTCTTCTTTGGGGCAGCCCCTCAAATATTGGAAGACTGCTGTCATGTCACTCCAAATCCTTCTTTTCTCTAGACTAGCCATACCCAGTTCCTGCAACTCTTCTTCATATAGCCTCTTTGTTGCTCTTTCCTGCACTCACTCTCTCGACATCTTTTTTCATAATATGGTGACTGGATCAAGCACACAGGACTGCAAAAGAATCGCACTGAAAAATTTGAAAGTAATACTATTCCAGATGTCAAGGAACGGTTGCCAGAAATCTGGGATCTATCTGTTTTGGAAAAGACAATATTTTCTACTGATCAAAGGATGCAGCAACGTGTGTTACTCTGTCAGAGATCTGGCCATACTTTATGTTGTATTTTGTACATATTAGTGTATTCGTTAGTAAATCAGCAACTATTGATAAGGTACAACATACAATGAAGATTTCCCCCCCCCCCTTTCCTTTTTTCTCGTACTTCCTTTGTCTAGATCAGGGATAGGCCACCTTGGCTCTTTTATGACTTGCGGACTTCAACTCCCAGAATTCCTGAACCAGCATGGGGGAACTGTGGCCCCTTCATGACTTGTGGACTTCAACTCCCAGAATTCCTGAGCCAGCATGGGGGAACTATGGCCCCTTCATGACTCGTGGACTTCAACTCCCAGAATTCCTGAGCCAGCATGGGGGAACTATGGCCCCTTCATGACTCGTGGACTTCAACTCCCAGAATTCCTGAGCCAGCATGGGGGAACTATGGCCCCTTCATGACTTGTGGACTTCAACTNGACTTCAACTCCCAGAATTCCTGAGCCAGCATGGGGGAACTATGGCCCCTTCATGACTCGTGGACTTCAACTCCCAGAATTCCTGAGCCAGCATGGCTCAGCTTGGAAACCTCTCCCTTTCCCCTCAGCATGGCTGGCTCAGGAATTCTGGGAGTTGAAGTCCACGAGTCATAAAAGAGCCAAGGTTCCCCACCCCTGGTCTAGATTTTTAGTAACAGTAACAGTTCCTTTGAGGTTGTCTCTTTTCAAATTTTTGAAAGTTTTTTTTTTAAGTTTAAAGATTTTGTTAATCCTGTAACATGTTTACATAGGCAGACCGAAAAATAGATTAAAAACGCAGGTATTTGGTCATGCCAGTCCAATGCTCTCATTAGCTTAATGACGAGAAATGCAAACTACAGCTTCTGAGTTTTAAAAAAAAATCTATCAAGTAAAAACAGAGCTGTTGTATATTGGGAGTAAAATTCTCACTTTACCCTGAAATATTTGTATTTTAGTTTGCATCTTAGTGTTCTGTAACGTCAAGCTGTTCAAGAGCTTGAACGTCAAAAATTCAACAGCTAAGAGTGTAATGCCCACATTTTATTCCCATTCTGTTTCTAGAAGCAAAGGAATCCAGAGCTGCGTAAGCAGAGCACACAGGACCTAAAAACAACAACAACAACAATTTAGCAGATTGGTATTCTTAATGTGACAGAAGGGGGAAGTTATTAAAGTCAGAGCTGCGGAGGAACAATATTAATTCAATTTAATTGTAACTATCTTTAAATGTATATGGACTGAAACAGTGGTGGGATTCAAATGTGTGAACAACCGGTTCTCTGTGTGGAGGCCGCTTCTGGAAGTCCGTTCTGGGCCTAGGCAACAAAAAATTAGCTACCGATTCTGGGAACTGGCTGAATCCCACCACTAAATCAAATCTGCCTTTTGTCCGAGTTTCACACATTATAGTTAGACTTTGACTTACGACCGATCTGTTAGCGGCCATTTGAAGTTATGATGGACCAACCCCCCCCCATAAAAAAAAGTACAAGTCGTCCTCAACTTATAACAGTTTGTTTGGTGGCCGTTTGAAGTTACAGTGGCACTGAAAAAGGTGACTTATGACCGTTTTTCACACTTATGACCACGGCAGCATCGCTGTGGTAATATGATCAAAGTTCAGATTCTTGGCAACTGGCTCCTATTTGTGATGATTGTGGTGTCCTGGGGTGGTGTGATCCCCTTTTGTGATGCAAAGTCAACGGAGAAGCCAGATTCACGTAAAAACCCCTGTTACTAATTGAACACCTGCAGTGATCCACTTAACAAACGTGGCAAGAAAGGTTGAAAAATGGTGCAAAACTCACTTAACAGCTGTCTCGGTTAGCAACAGAAATTTTGGGCTCAGTTGTGGCTGTAAGTCAAGGACTACATGTAGTTATGATCCAGTTCTGAAGTTCTAACGGCCACCACCACCACCCCCAGTCACGTGTCTGTACTTTGGGCTCTGGGCAACTGGGCAGCATTAATCGCCATTTGCAGCATCCCACAGTTATGCGATCCCAATTTATGATGTTTTTTTGCAAATAAAACAGCGTTTACTTCCAGCTTTAGACAAAAAACCCCCCATAGCAAACAAAAGATTCGATTAACGACTGCCACGTTCACTTAACAACAACCTGTGCAAAAAAGGTTTGTAAAATTGGATCGGTCTCGTGATGACCCAATTACAACCGGTATGACTTTAATGGGCAAGCTCTGTTACGGTGGTAAGTTGAGGATTATTTTATTTTCTGGAGCATGGACAGAGTAATCATAATCATAATCATAAAATTGGAAGGGACCTTGGAGGTCATCTAGTCCAACCCCCTTGCTCAGGAAGAAAATCCTGTACCTTTTCAGACAAATGGCTGTCCAGTCTCTTCTTAAAAACCTCCAGTGTTGGAGCATTCATCGCTTCTGGAGGCAGGTTGTTCCACAGGTTAATTGTTCTAACTGTCAGGAAGTTTCTCCTTAGTTCTAGGTTGCTTCTCTCCTTGATCAGTTTCCATCCGTTGCTTCTTGTCCTGCCTTCAGGCGCTTTGGAGAATAGCTTGACTCCCTCTTCTTTGTGGCAGCCCCTGAGATATTGGAACACTGCTATCATGTCCCCCCTCATCCTTCTCTTTGTTAAACTAGACATTCATTAAACTAGACTTCACTGGGTCGGGTTTATGTTATCAAATGCTTTTCTGTAGAAATGTCCTCTGGTTATTAAAAACTTAGCATGTCAAGGTTTATAGTCTATCCTAATAGCTTTGCTTGCTTTCTACATGCGAGGAAATTTTTTCTAGAGAAAAAGATTGCAGGAGGACAATCCAGACATGGATCTAAACCGAATGAAAACATTAAAAACAACGAACAGCCAAAACTCTGAGCTAGGATTCTTTCTGGAACCCAGAATGCCTCTGAGCATGTCCAGAGTGCATGCATGAAATACGCAGTGGGCCTTTCCTGAAATTCAAGCAACAGGAGATGTCCCTCTCTCTCTCTCTCTTCCTCCTGGTTAAGCCAGAGCTAGAGGCATTTCTGCTTCTGAGATCAGAACCCACCACCCTGCTTGCTTGCCCAGTTCCAGTGCTGGTCAGTTTAATGAATCTGCAGCCTCAATATTTCTCTGAGTAGATGCCCCGTATCCAAAGAAACGCAAGTGGCAGGACGGCGAGGAGAGGAAAAGAGAGAAAATGGGGGCAGAGTGGGTGCTGCAGATCACAATTAACCTAATTAGTGAGGAAGCAGCGGTTAATGAGTGGGTTGCACTAGGCACTTTAATTACTTTTGCACAGAGCTCGCAAATTCATACGTCTGGCACCTTCTCGGAGGGAGAGAGGCACAGAGGCCTGGCATCTAAAGGCAAGACACCTGGATCAAGTTGATCCTTGGATTCTTGATCCAAGGGGTCCCCCATGCAAACCCCAAAGTAATACGCAGAAGAGAGCCGTGCTGCACGGGGTTTGGAGCAGAATTCTCCTGCTTTCCGCTTTGCAAGTTTCTAGTGCTCATGAGTGGCGAGAGCAGCTGGCGGATGGGGCAAACACCGCCACCAAAGGACACATCAAACAGGGGAATTCCTACTACCCCCAAACCAAGGAGAGATAAAAGAGGCTTAATGCACTGTGCAAAGAGCTGGCCAGGAGCCAATGGCCTATGAAAGTGCAGAAGCTGCAGCTTTCAGTATAATCCCTGCCACAAATCCCATCATTCAGAGAAGAGCAACTAAGATGATGAAAGGCCTGGAGACTAAAACGTACAAAGAACGGCTGCAGGACTTGGGTTTGGCTAGTCTAAAGAAAAGAAGAAAGAGGGGAGACATGATAGCAGCGTTCCAGTATCTGAGAGGCTGCCACAAGGCAGAGGGGGTCACGTTGTTCACCAGAGCACCAGAAGGAAGGACGAGAAACAATGGTTGGAAACTGATCAAAAAGAGAAGCAACCTGGAATTAAGGAGAAATTTCCTAACAGTGAGGACAATCAACCAGGGGAACAGCTTGCCACCAGATTTTTAAGAGGAGACTGGACATTCACCTGTCTGAGATGGTATAGGTTCTCCTGCTCGAGCAGGGGGCTGGACTGGAAGACCTCCAAGGTCCCTTCCAGCTCTATTCCATTCCATTCCATTCCATTCCATCCCAACCCATCCCATCCCATCCCATCCCATCCCATCCCATCCCATCCCATCCCATTCTATTCTATTCTATTCTATTATATTCTATTCTATTCTATTCTATTTCTATCCTATTCTACTCCATTCCATTCCATTCCATTCTGCTTCTATTCTATTCTATTCTATTCTATTCTA